CAAACTGCAACACATATTGTCTCTAATGCAGTGTTTCATGAAAGAACTAAGCACATTGAAGTTGATTGTCATTTCGTGAGAAAGAAAGTGACAAGTGGAGAGGTTGTTACTCCCTATGTTAAATCTGAAGATCAAGTAGCTGATATTTTTACTAAAAGTGTGGGTCACTCAAGGATGGACTATATTTGTAACAAGCTGGAACTTTATGATATATATGCTCCAGCTTTAGGGGGAATGTCAGAATTGTTAGAAGTAGTTAACAGGGTCAGTATTGACTTTTTCATGTTACTCTTTCTCTCTTATATCTGTTGTATTTTTCCTAAGGGTATTGTAGTCATTTCATCCTTAGTAGAATGTTAATACAACCTGGGTCAACAGAAAGAAGAATAGAACAGATTTCTCCTTTCTAGTCTTCCCTCTTTTCTTCTCCTTTTTCTTCTCTTTCTCTTTCTTTCTTCTATTCTTTTCTTCACATTTTCTTACTTTATTAAAGTTGGAACATATTCAAAGAAGTGGAAAGAAGCATTCAAGCTGTGAAGCATTGTATCTTGACTAGGGTCATTCATTGGTTGAGAACTGTGGACTCCTTTCATTCTTTTTCTTTTGATGATATTTAGAGAAACTGGATAGCAGTGGCTAATAGTCATACGAGGAAGGACAGGATATCTGCAGCGTGGGTGCCTCCGTCTGAAGGTTGGGTAAAGCTGAATTTTGATAGTAGCAGCCAAGGAAATCCAAGCCCATCGGGGATAGGAGAAGTGCTGAGAGATAAGGACAGCAACATCTTAGCCTTGTTTTCAGGCCCCAAGGGAATAGGAGACTCTAATAGAGCTGAGATTTTAGCAGCTCTACAAGGTATTCAGATTGCAGAACAATTAGGAGTTCAAAATTTGGTAATTGAAGGAGACTCCAAAATTGTTGTGGGATGGCTGACAGATCCAGGCTGAGCTATATGGTGATACAAAGACTTATTGAGGAAAGCTAATTGGCTCACAAGAAGCCTAACTGTTACTTCTCTTTGGGTGGGAAGAATAGCAAATACCATAGCGGATGGGTTGGCTAAGCAAGGGGCTTCAAGAGAACATTTATTTTGGGCTGCACTATAATTTTATTTCTGTTTTATTCCTGTCTTAACCTGATGTAATACTTTGGTAGGAGAGGTAACAGCCTGTGCCTCTCCATGGGTTTCCTGTAATGCCTTAATTCTCTGGTTTAATAAAATTATCTTCATTCATTAAAAAATAAGTATATGTTGACGACATAGTGATCACTAGTGATTGGAAAACTGAAATTTAGAAGTTGAGAGAATTCCTTGCTACTCAGTTTGAGGTAAAAGATTTAGGCCCTTTATGGTATTTTCTTGGAATTGAAGTTGCTCATTCACAAAAAGGGATCTTCGTTTCTCAAAGAAAATACATCCTAGATCAATTGCAAGATTCAGGTAAGCTAGGGGTGAAACCAACTGATTCTCCTATTGATCCATACCATAAGTTAGGTGATTGTCAAGGTGAAACCATCAAGGATGTGAAGCAATTTCAAAAACTTGTGGGAAGAGTTTTGTATCTATCCATGACACGCCCAAATATTGCTTATGTTTTAGGGTTCTTAGCCGGTTAATGCATGTTCCCAAAGATACTCACATGGAAGCAGCTGAGAGGATCCTCAAATATCTTAAGAAATTTCCAAATGCTAGTTTGTTGTTCCAAAAGCATGGACATTTGAAGGTTGAGGTGTATACAGATGTTGATTGGGTTGGATCTATTGATGACAGAAAATCCACAGGTGGTTTTGACATTAGATGATAAAGTGTGAATTTTCTACTTCTAAAATTTAAGTGATTCTAATTTTCTTGATGGTGTTGGTTCCTACAAGCTTTGAGGCATTGATTCATAATAGTACTGAAGGTGTGACTCTTAAAGAAGCATTGTTGTTGGTACCTAGGTTAGCATTTTCTCTCTTCTTTGTAGATGCATCCAAAAAATGAAAAAAAAAAATGTGAATGTTTAGATGGACCTAGAGGTGTAAATCGGGTCGTGTCGAGCCTGGCCATGCTTGCTACCTCTAGGATACTTCAAAGGTCAAGCCCAGCATGGCCTATGGCACGAGCCTAGGTGATCTTGGGCTGGGCCGCATGCCGGGCCAGGCCATGAGAGGCATAATTTTTTTTTAATTTTTGAAAACAAATTATCTTAAAATTTATTTTATATGAATTTTGATGTGTACAATTGTTTACATATGAAATAATAAAATGAAATTAAAAAAATTACAGTACAATTGGAATAAAATAGTATAATAAAATTGAATATAAAAATGTATATATTAATACATTATATATTATAATTACATATAAATATGTATATAATTATATAATTATTATATATAATATATAATTATATATCATATATATGGGTTGTGCTGGGCCACGCCGGGCCAGGCCATGGGAGCCTGTGCTAGCATGGCCCATCTATAGCACATGGGCCATGCCAGGCACGACACGAAGGTATGAAAAAGTGATATGTTAAAATAGGAGTTAAGAGGAGGGTGGACTGGGATTAGGAAGGCTAGTTCTCAAGAATCAAGCTCTCTTAGGAAAATGGTTGTGGAGGTAGCCCTTAGAAAGGGAGAGGTTGTGACATGAAGTGATAGATAGTATACATGGCAAATTGGAAAATGGATGAGATGTTGGTGTATCGCGTCGAGCTACATTGGCAACTCCGCGGAAAGCAATCCAGAGTATCCTCCCTCAATTTCTCAATTATGTCAGGTATGATGTCAACTCTAGTAACTCTGTTTTATTTTGGGAAGACATTTGGGGGGGTACCTTTGCACTTAAGGACCGGTTCCCGTCCCTCTACTCCCTTTCCCTCTATAAGGAAAAAGCTCTCATTTTCTCCCAACACGTGCCTCACCCTCCTCCTTAAGTTGGGACTTTGGTTTTCATAGAGGCTTGAGGGATGAACTTAGTAGTGTTTCAGACCTGTTGTCTCTTCTTGGCAGTGTTTTTTTTTTACCCTCTTAGATTGGATGTGAGATTATGGTCCCCTCATCCAAAAGGTTACTTCACTTGTGCTTCCTTTTTTAAGGCCCTTTGCTCTTCCCCAGGACAATTGGGTTTTCCGACCAAGGAGATATGTCTAGGACCTATTCCACCTAAAATTATTATTTTCTGATGGGAGGTGTTTTATAGAAAGATCAATACCTTGGACTGCTTGTAGAAGAAAAGGCCTTTCATGTGTTTGTCCCCTAACTGGTGTGTACTTTGCAGAGCTAGTGATGAGGATTGCTCCCACTTACTTTTATCTTGTTCCTTTTCTATTGCTATTTGGAGTTGGATTTTTGCTTTGTTTGGGTGCAAGTGGAATCTAACCACAAACTTAAGTCAGTTGTTTGATCCTTCATTTTTTGTGTGCCCAACAAAAAAAGGAAGAACTATGTAGAGATGTATTAGAGCAGCTGCTTTGTGGACATCTGGGAAGAAAGAAATGCAAGGTCATTCAAAGAAAAGGAAAAAAGCACTGGATAGCGGTGGCTAATAGTCATACGAGGAAGCACAGGATATCTACAGTGTGGATGCCTCCATCTGAAGGTTGGGTAAAGCTGAATTTTGGTGGTAGCAGCTAGGGAAATCCAAGCCCATCAGGGATAGGAGAGGTGCTGAGAGATAAGGATAGCAACATCTTAGCCTTGTTTTGAGGCCCCGTGGGAATAGGAGACTCTAATAGAACTGAGACTTTAGCGGCTGTACAAGGTATTTAGATTGCAGAACAATTAGGAGTTCAGAATTTGGTTATTGAAGGAGACTCCAAAATTGTTGTGGGATGGCTGACAGATCCAGGCTCAGCTATATGGCGATACAAAGACTTATTGAGAAAAGTTAATTGGCTCACAAGGAGCATGACTGTTACCTCTCTTTGGGTGGGAAGAACAGCAAATACCTTGGCAGAAGGGTTGGCTAAGCAAGGGGCTTCAAGGGCACACTTATTTTGGGCTGCACTATAATTTTTATTTCTGTTTTATTCCTATTTTAACTTGATGTAATACTTTGGTAGGAGAGGTAAAAGCTTGTGCCTCTCCATGGGTTTCCTATAATGCCTTAATTCTCTGATTTAATAAAATTATCTTCATTCATCAAAAAAAAAAGTTGAAGTGGAGAGAAGAGCTAAGGACAGACCAACACAGATTGAAGTTAGGCTTGCAACTTGGGCAGGCTAGGGTTGGGCTTTTGTCAAATTTTTGAATGGACCTGGCCTGATAGCCCAAACTCAAAACAATGTAAAATGCTCACTCGGTCCAATCCAAGTTGCACTCCAGGCTGAAGAAGTAAGAAATTATTTAAGCGTCCATAATTTAATTTAACAATAAATATGGTCTGAACAGAATATGGAATGATAAAACAAGATTCTGTAGCCGACCCCATATAGTTGCGACAAGTCTTAGATGATGATCACCATCATGGATTACATTTCATTGTAAACTGCTTAAACCTTGGTTTTCTTCGGTGTATCTGTACAAGTACAATATGTCTGCGTGTTCTTAATTAAAGTGAGATCAAGTCCATGACGTATGAACTTGTGCAATTCAGCCTTTGGGCTTGTATACATAGATGTAAATCCATATAACCAGCGCCAACTAATGGCGGTTCTGTTGGTAGGATCTCTGCCTTAAAAGAAAAAGTTGGTAGGATCTCTAACTTGTTGGAGCGGAGACCTGGGATCAAATCCCGCAGCCACCACTCACCAGGGAAGGGGGAGGGCTACCCCCGTTGTGTAGCCCTGTGAAAAAATATATATAAATCAGTGAAACATGGGAAATTAGATATGGTATGGAAAGAGTTTTGACCAATCAAAAGCCACCCACCCATGAATTTTGATAAATAACACCATATTCCCTACCACGTTTATGATTCTTGTGCTTACGTATATAAGCACATAACGTTAAAAAGATCTACCCTGTACGCAAGCATAAATATATTATTAGAAACATAAGCACAAGTTCCTCACCAGGACTGAACTGCTCTCCTTTCAACAGGTTTACTGCTTTATACTCGTAACTCAATCCTTTTCACAACCAAACCAACAATCCAGCCAGGCAGCCACCAGAGGAAGATGGAGAGACGTAAACGGTATAAGGCAGAGTTTCAAGTAAAAATAATTTCAATCAATTAATAAATGAATCATTCAAAATTAGATTAGGCCGACCTTTCAAGTTCAGTGCGATGCGAGCGCGCCAAGAACACGAACTCCGCCAGTAAGAATAGAGTTTCAGCTTTGGCTGCTCTTTATCCGTACAATCGCTAGAATTTGCAGCCTGAGAAACACCATAACTTTAATGAGAGAGAGAGAGAGAGAGAGAGAGGAAGGGGGAGTGGAGAAAACAAAACACACCATGAGAAATTAGCACGAACAGACGATTTGCAATTGTCTCTAGACACTCCTGCGGAGCAAAAGCAGCCTAAGCAGGTGGAATGAGAGTTCAAGAGAGTCTTATTGGTAGACCGCAAATATTTTAAATTACCCCTGAGAGGAAATGAAATAAAATTTACCCGACTGTTTGAAAATCTTTTACACTATCCTCATCTATGTTTTGTTTCAAGGAACAGGTGGTGCTCAGCTCAAAATTTGCCGATTTTAGTGAGAAAGTGTTCGTTGCCTTTCACAGTTTGGGCAATCCTCGAGAGTTGTTATAGAAGAAATAGCAGAAGGTAATCTCGAGGAAGTCAGTAACCCGGATCCAATACGTTTTTTGGTGGATGGAGAAATTGACTTTTAGAGGAGGCTATAAACATCTACATGTTACAATGCGGGCTATACTTCCATCCCGATGATTTAAAAGAGGTAAAAAAAACTGAAAAAGTAAACCGTTACGTGTTGCACCCCAACTTTTATGTATTATTTGTGGGGTCGTGCTACTCCCGTCTGGTGTAGCCCTCTCGGTTTCTACGATAAAAAATAAACCGTTACTAATTTTCTCTATATTTTTTTAATTTAAAAAATAAAAGAAAAACTTAAAACTTATTTACAAAGTTTTGTCCTTGAGGAACTACTCTAAAAATGCAAAAAGGAAAAAACCTTTGCATTTTCAGAAGGAATGAAAAATAAGATACAGCCAAAAATCTATTCAGTCAAAAAAAAACTTATACTCATTGCATTTCATGTCTTTAATCTAATATTTTTTTCTTTTCAAATTTTATTGTACTGTAATGGCAATTTCCCTCCTCCATCGGGAATGAAGTTCCATCCTAGTTTATTCCAATTCTTATCTAAACCAAACGTATCTAGAGTTGTAAATCGGGTTGTGCCGCCTATGATTCGACATGACAATATGCGATCTATATCGGGCATGGCATGATGTAATGGGTCATGTCGGGCCTGGAGTTTCAAGTCCATGGGCCAACACGACATAGCATGATTGAGAGGGTCGTACTAGCACGCGGGATTCCAATTTCTATATATCTAAACCAAACGGACCTATAGCTGTAAATCGGATTGTGCCGCCTACGACCTGACACGACAATACGCGAGTCATGTCGTGCATGACATGATGGAATGGATCATGCTGGATTCCAATTCCAATCTAAACCAAACACCCCTAGAGTTGTAAATCAGTTCATGCTATCTACAACCCAACGCGATAATACGTGGTTCGTGTCGAGCACGGCATGATGGAATGGATCATGTCTGGCCTAAGGTTTTAGGTCCATAGTCCAACACGACATGGCATGATTGAACGGGCCGTGTGGCTCGCATGTCAGCACGACCCATATATAAATATATATTTATATCTATTATATACTATATATATGATAATTATATAATAATATATTATATATAACTTTATTTTCAATTTTATTATACTATTTTATTTAATTATTGTATATATAAACAATTGTATATGTCAAAAATCATATAAAATAAAAATTTAAACATTTTTTTTCATTTTTTTAAAATTGACCTTTCATAACTTGGCCTGGTCCATGGCCCGGCCTGGTCCAAAGCTTGGCCCATGGACCAGCTAGGCCCACGGCACGACAAGGGCCCGTGCAAGCTCGGCCATAGGCCATACTGAGCTGACCCCCCAAATTATCCCAAGGGAGGGTGGCACGGCCCGGGATGGCCCAAGATGGCATGTGGGCTAGCACAACATGGTTCGCACTTTGCATAGGCCGCACATAGGCTATGCCATGCCGGCCTAGTACAACCCATTTGATAGGGTCGAAATGGACCATAGGAATAGACCATTCCAAATCAAATTCCAACACCAATTCCATCTATGAACCAAACGGACCCTAAACAATTTAGGTAACGAACCTAAGATTTAAGTTATAAGTGGATTACAAAATTATATCGAGTCGGTGTAATAACTTTTTAACTTAGTAATACAGTTTAATTAATACCGTATGAGTTTATTACAGCATACACTAATTCATTTGTATTTTTATAAGTTGAAGCTTTAGGTAACAAGCCTAAAATTTTATGTGGACTACAAAATTATATCAAGTTGTTGCAATAACCTATCACCTTTTGTCAAGTTGGTTTTATTAGCTAATATATACGGTCTGATTAATACCGTATAAATTTCTTATTAGGATGCATAATAACCCATTTGTACTTTTGTGAAATTTGAAGAGCTCCTCAACGCCAAAGCTCGACAGACATGTAAGTTTGAAAAATATTGAATAAATAAGCAACGGTAATATACCTCCCGCCCGTTACTTTTTTGTATGTCACTTAAACCATCTACGTATTACAACGTTTATGGAAGTACAGCTTCATTGTAACATGCAGATGTGTAGCCCATCCGGTCTCAACTGTTTATAATTGACCAACTCTAGTCTTACTATTATAATGCTGTCGCATTTCCCCAACAGGTAATTGCATGTGACTGTTTTAATTTTTTAAAACCCAATTTTGCCCTTTCCTCAAATACCAAAACTAAAACATCCCAAACCTAAGAAGCAAGAGGAAGAAGAGAATGGAAGGCGTAGACATAATCAAACCTTCTTCAGCATATCAGAAGGCCGTTACCATGTAAAGAACATTCCTTGTATCATCATGTTCTCAAATCATTCTAAACCTTCTTCAGCATATCCCCCCATCTTCCCCTCATTGTCACTGAACGTAGTGTGAGAAACAACACCTGATGATGCTTTTACACAAACCTCTACTTAATTAATCAAAAGACCTCTACCCGTTTCTTATCTTTTCTTCCTCTGAATTCTAAAATGCTTGGCATATTAAAGGACTAGCGACATCTAAAGTTGGTTGATTAAATCTTGGAGGTGATCAAAGACTATGAAGTTAAATTTTGTTCAGTGAGAAGGAATTTGAACCTTGATTAAAGACATCTTGATATGTTGTTGACCAACTCCAACACCTGAAGCCAAATTACAATAACAACAAAAACCCCAAGAAAATTCCAAGGGAGAAAAAAGCATGATAAAATGAGTCAAATGGAGTTTAATTTAACCTTCACTGAAATTAAAAACATCTTGTGTATTGAAAATTCAACGAAAAAAATGATAAAATTAAATGGATTATATTTGCTTTTAAGAGTGACCCACGGATAAATTTTAAAGTTCAGAAGAAATTTTAAATAAGATGTCTGAATTGGTTCAAAAGAAGGGAGAGGAAAAACAGAAGCCATTAAGATTACCTAGTTGTTTGCAGCTCAATACCATTTCTTGGGAGCTGAATATGATGAGTATGCTGCTACAAATGCTAGTGGAGATGCATTTTGCTGCTATGGTACTCTAATTTTGATGGCGCTTTTGCTCTCAAGGCATGTGTTGATTATCAATGCTGATGGGGAAGATGATGCCTCTGAATTCTGCTCTCTTTTCCTGCTTCGGGCTGTTGGGTTTCTTATTCCATCTTATATAATGGCCTGGCCTTATTTTGCAGCACCGAAGGCAAAGTCAAAAGCAGCAGTAAAATAAAAACAGAGAGTTCAAAAGAACGACATAAAAGATCGATGAATGGAGAAACAAAACTTGTTAAGTGAACTATAGAAAGATTGTCAATGGGTTTACAGAAAGAAATAACTTACATGAATGAGAGCATTCAAAGCATTGGCAATGGCCATGTTGGTCATGTTAGCTGATATTTTGTTCTTCTGGCAGAGGGTTTGGAGATCCTTCCATGAAAGAGAATGGAAATCCATAATAAACGGAGAGTCTGAGTAGGAGGAGGAGAACTTGGGGGTTCATTTTTATGTTACGTAATATAAATTGTCAAAAAAAAACTTAAGGATACTTTAAGGTAATATGTAAATAGTAGGGGTACAATTAGTCCATTTTCTAATATGCAGGGGTAGTTTAAACCTGTGGGGGGGGCAGAACCTTAAAAGAAACTAGTCGGCTATAAAGCTTGTGAAGCCAGGTCATGCTGATTGAGTCCGCACCTGAGTCAAGATCAGAACTTAAAGAAATTCAAATACTCAGAGATTAAGATTCAGAAAGAAGTCATTTTGGGTTTTCAACAAGAAGTGGTAATGGTTGATTGCGTCCAACACCAACCATGCACTTCCTCACCATTGGAGCCTATACAAGTATTCTCCCATCCGCCTATTGTTAGTTCTTCTTTTTTTGTGGTTGTGCCACTTAATTTGTTGAGGATGAAAACAAAAAAGAGAATGTATAAGTTGGGTGGTGACCTCTGTCAAAATCAAAATCATGCGACTGCTATAAAATCAAAACCAAGTAAGATCATCGGGTGTTATAATAGATTGATAAATCGAAAAAAAAAAAACTGGGTTTAAAAAGGTTACTTGTTTTCCAAATATCTCCTTGGTGCTGATAGAGTATTTAGAATACGAGCATAATGTCATAGGGTGACATAATGGGTTGCTTGACTAAGATTCTCCTAGCCAATTCTGCATGTTTCTAGGCTATTCTGGAGCGTTCTAGGGTGTTCTTAAGTGTTCTCCATGTTTCTAGAAAGGGCTGGATATTGGTGGAATTCTTTAGAACTTTGTGGAACAATCCGGGTTTGTGTGGAATGCCCTAGAGGGGTTGGGAGTAATCTAGACTTACTCTAGAGTGTTCTTGTATCTTATGGAATGGACATCCCCTAGAAAAGTGTAGAAAGTAGAATGTTTTAAATGTGCTTCTAGATGATGCCAAGTGTAAATAGTTCTAGAGGATTCCTTGAGGGTTATTGTATAAACAGGAGTCTCCAATCTAGACTTACTCTAGAGTGTTATTATATCTTATGGAATGGGCATCCCCTAGAAGAGTGTAGAAAGTAGATGTTCTAGAGGTGCTTCTAGATGATGCCAAGTGTACATAGTTCTAGAGGATTCCTTGAGGGGTTATTGTATAAACAGGGGTCCCCTCCTTCATTTGCAACAAGCATCTAAGTTGTCAGAGCAATTTTGAGTTGTAAGCTTTCTTCTAATGTAATACAATTTCTTACTCCTACAATACTTTGTGTGCTCTTGTGTTCTTTGGTGTGTATCCTTAGCACTTAAACAATCTAGCAAAAAGGGTCTTGGGCATCAATTTGGGTGACTTTCTTGGAGGGCCAAGTAAATATCACACAGCTTAGCTAACGGGAGAAGTCAGGTCGTGACAATAAGCTACCAAATAAGTTCTTGATTGTTTACCTCTATATTGTCTATAATTTTATCTCCATCACAATCAGTGCAGTTACGATGGGAAATTTGATGAATTCCAAACAAGTTTTTCACCTAGAAGAATCCCCTATAGGAGCTGGGTAAATAAGTGGGCTATGGTGACTGTCTTGGAACAGTCACCTAGGTGGCGATG